TCCTTTCTGAAACAATAATCAAAACATGTAAACTGCAGCCACCTAACCATCTGGTCAACACATTGAAACATAGAGAATTTTTCTGAGAGCCAAGTGGAGGAGGAAAAAACATGAAGCAAGGCAAAAGTCATAATGACTTGTTCCCAATATGGGCTCCCAAAAATGAATGAGCATGAAATACTAGGGAAAAAATATTAGATTATCTAAGAAACATAACACGAAAGAAAGCTATATCTACCAATCTTAACTAGTTATCTGGGCCTTGTTTATGGCCTTTTTTATGTAAAGTGGATTCTGAATAAAAGCAAATTAATATTTACTGAAAAGTGTATTCAAACAAGAGAGCTAAGTAGTGAAAGATACAAACCTCTGGATGCTCTTTCTTTATCATCAAAGTAAAAAATGTTTTAAGTATATAAATAGTGTACCTGAATATCTGCTTTCCTTTCAGTGCTTTATGATAAAGTAGGCATTCCCTTAAGTGACGAAATGGTGTTCATTAAGGGGTGATCAGCAGTAAGCTGGCCAAGGCTAGGAAAAGAAATAATAGAGTTCCTAATAACAGAGCCTGTTGATGTTGAGAGGAGATGCAGATGATACCAAGAGGAAGGTTTCAAGTAGCAGGTGAGTGAAAAGGCATGATACAGGAGCTCCTAAGGGTGAGCAATTGTGACTTAGAGAAGGGGTAGCATTCTACTGCCAATTAAGTGCTTACTATTATGAGAGCTAAAAACTCTTTGAAATGAATAAATGGGTTAAATAGAATGGGGATTACCATTTAAGTAGAGCATTCTAACTTTGCTTCAGACCATGGGAATTCTATAAAATCACAAAGGAGAGAATTAGCTGAACAAAATAGTTTAATTTAATGGGAAATTTATTTCAGAAGAGAAGCTAAGGAAAATTTCTGGAGTTAAGTAATGACATTTAGAATTAGAAGACATTTATGTAAAAGCAATGTCCAAGGATAAAGTTAAGTAATAAGAATTTTCAGAAAGAACTAGAAAAACGTGAGATAGAGACCTGAGGCACTTTATAAAGAGGAACAAAGAAAAACGTAGGCTCTCTATAGGAAATAATTAGAATAGTAGAATTTGACCTAAATTAAAGAAAAATATTACACATGCCTGAGTGTAAGCACAGGAACACACACACACACACACACACACACACACATACACACACACACACACACACTCTTTCCTACCTTAGAAATCCCCCCAAAGACTGAGATCAAAATGTTACTTCTATTCCTTTTCTAGTCTAATTAAAACTTGAAATGTTGCCTATTGCCTGTTATCAGTTTATGCATATTATGGGTTAAATAGAAACATTAATATTAATTGAGGGTGTCACTTTACTGCAACATTTATTTTACTAAGTCAGAAGAATAGTGATCGTAAAAGCAAGGCATAGATCCAAATTATATACTGTACCATATATGCTAATCTGAAGGGAAAAGGCGAAGTTTTGGCTGGTGCTCGTATAAAAAAGATACTCTTATAAACTCCAAAATTTAAGCCCCATTCCAGAAAATAATTATACACCAAAATATTTTCTCAGAATATGGAAGTCTTTTGAACTGTAAAAAGGATTAAAAAAGTCATAAAAAAAGAAACTTTCTAATTATAAAATTTCCTCACAAAACCTCCATTGTGCTTTTAATTCTTTACTAATTTGATTTAGAATATTTTTTAAACAAAGTTAAGTGGCTAGAATTATCTTTTTAAATTTAAATTTCATAAGAAAGAGAACCACAATACACATTCCCTGACCAGATTGCCTGTGGCCTATTTTATTCGAAATGTTTCATTCCATATGGATTTCTTCTCTTTATTTATTTCTTCCAGAAAGGATTCTCTCTAATACGTTAGCAACTCAAGGGTGACCAATTTGAAACCCACACCCTGAAAGACTGCAGTACCCCAGACCTGCCACCTGCAATGTTTTCTAGAACTTCTGTGTGGAGCATGAACCAAGGGTGAGCCACAAGCGGGTGGTCCACTGAGGTCAGGGTTAAAGTTCACAGAATAATTTGGAAATTATTCTCAGCTTGGATCTCGTTTATGAGGCCTGAGAATACACCCTTTAATTAGAATACAATTTCCAAAGCAGCCACTCCCTTGACTTTCCAGGGCTCAGTTATTCTCAGCAAAGAAAAGTAAAAACAGCCTCATTACACTGACAGCTAACGGTCCCCTATAAATTAAGCCCTAAATGTCTGACAAAGAAGGCAGCAGCCCATCTGGGACAACGAAGACATGAGCTGCCAGCCCTTGCTAATCACTCTCAGGAACGCAGAAAGAAAAAGCAGTCACATTCAACAGAGTTCCTCTCCTTCACTTCTTGCTTAAGCTGCTGAGCTGTGCCATGGAAGCTTGGAAAAAGAGTGGGCTGTGTATTTGAAAACGTTCCCACACCCCAGCCGGTCTCATTTTTCTGATGATCCGTCCATCCAGCCAACCTCGCACTACAGTGGGAACACTAACATCAATTCCGTGGGAGCCAGCTGTCCGCCTCTTCCACGGTGCTCAGGGAGCCACACAGGACTCCTGGAATGGGAGCCAGCCCAGTCCTGACTCACCACAGATGTGCCTCTCCTCTCCCATGGAGCTCTGAGCTGGAGTCTCCCTTTCCAGGGCCCCTTGTTATTACCAAAGATTTACTGGGCCCCAGAAATGCGCTAGATGCTGGAGCAAAAGGAAAACACACATCTCCCTAACCTGGGAGTTAAGAGACACAGACATTAAATTATGCAGAGATGGCCAAGGACCCTGTGGGAAAAGCCAAAGAAGGAAAGTCAGGCAGCTATGCAGAGTTTTATCAGGGAGTTGGAATAGCAGAATCTACCACAATACAAAACTTTCAAACGCTATCCAGAATTGAGTCAGTTTTAAAGATGATATAAAATGTTCCATTTTTGCAAATCCAGATATCAATTTTTTTTCTGTTGATCCAACAAAGTAGCCTTTGTCTAAAAAAGTGTGACTGTGAAAATAACAAAAACAGAGTTTTGAATTAATAATCAGAATTCAGTCAGATGTCACCCACAAATATTTGGAAACACTTGCCAGCTTGTTCCGGGCAGGAGTGGCACTATTGTCTTTGGCCATTATCCTTTGTATATCCATTCATCTGTCAGTTTTCCCAGCAGTCCTCTCCAAGGGGGCTGTAAATCTCTCTATCTCTGCATTCCTTCAATGTGTATTAGTAGGAAACCAGACAGTTGTTCCCGAATGTTCCAGTGTTTCATGGCACAGAGTACATCATTATCTCAATAAAGAAATTCTGTTATGCGGTTTATAATATTTTTGATCAATGTCCACTTAACCAGTATAGGCAATCGAGAAATTCATTTTAAACCTATCCTTTTAAATGGTAGGAAATCTGTGACTACAATGAACTTTAAGGTATAACACAAACACATTTAATACATTAACATGACTCTCCATATCCTTACTCAACAGGGTTTGTATTTTTTTTGTTTTTGTCCTAAAAGATCTTATTCACATTTTCCTAGTGTGGGCCTTGGAAAAGAAGATTAGGGAAATAAATCGATTAAATGAAACACACACACTTAACATTCTGTTACTACAAAATAAAGTGAGAAACCAATCTTACTTCCCAACAGGTGAAGGTAAAATTATCCCTAAGACCTACCTCTTCTAACACTTACTAACTCTACTTGCTAGGAAATCACAGACAAAATGTGCCAGTATCTCACAAAACCATAAGTTTCACAACAGCAGAGTCAATATTTAGATAAAAGGCAAACGATACACATTTGGGGGATAAATCCTTACTTGAAAAAATGTTTATTTGATTCTTTTGGGAAAGAAAGATAAATTTTGCTCCTCACTAATTTCTGAGTCTCATTTCCTTCCTTCCTACTCTCTTCTCCAAGACAAAAGTGTATAAAAACCAAAATTGTTCTAAAATTAAAACTAAAAGATACTCATTTTTAGAGCTTTTGTTTGAATACTGAAAATTTCCTTCAATAGAATTTTTATCGTTATTGTTTGTTCCCTGCTAAGTTGGTCTCATCCTTCCAAGTTTCAAAATAAATGTAATATGTAACCGAAGAATGGTTCTACGTTATGAAGTCATCTGAACTAAAGAATTGAATTTTTAAAATTAAAATAAAACAACACTTGATTTCCAGAAATAAATTCTTCTCTTCTGTCTCCTCTGAAAAACTGAGATGGGACATAGTAATTTATTTACCATGAATGAGAATTTCAAAAAATGTTCTCCTGTGCTCTTCCAGGTGTGGCATAGCAGTGATCTTTACTCCTACATGTTTACTACAGAGAATAATTCATTATGTGGCAAATTCATTTTGAATCCACCTGGGGGGAATTTAGAAACCACAATATAAGCTCCAGAAGGTCAAGAACAGAACGTGACATAGAATTAGCATTATGAACAGCACCCAAAAAATATGGTGTTTCAGCGCATTCCCAGAGTAAAATACACACACACACACACACACACACACACATCCCAAAGCTTTTGTATATATTCTACACAGCAATTTCAAGAAGGAGAGGATTGAAAAAATTTAAAAAAAACAGTAAATAGTAATAGTAAATAAAATATTAATTATAAAAAATTTGTTACCGTTTGGCTAGGGGAACAGAGACCACAAGAGCATTTATTTTTTAGTTCCATCTTTCTCTTTTCAGTTTAATAATCCACATATACTAGAGTAGTTTGACTTCCACTTAGTCGCTGCTCAAAAAGGAAGTGATTTTTGACTAAATATCTCTGAGAAGCATCCAAAATTTATGGGTCAATTCCTCCTTTCTAATGAAAGGATGAAAGTTGACAGCATTATTTATATCCTAGTTTTAGCTCTATAATTTAAAAGACTAACAAAAACACTGTTGATAAGCTGTTCATTTACAGATTTGCAGCAGAACAATATGGGACAATTAACCAAGAACATATTATCATCGTCATATCCCCAAATCGCTCTAATTTTTCCTAAAAATACTTACTTCTGATGAGTTCACCATCCAGAGGATTTCCCCAAATGGACTGGTCTTGTGTCTCTCCATGTGTGAAGTGGCTATTGGTAGCTTGGGTTGTATCTTTCTCAGTATTGTCTTTATCACATTTTCCTGAATAAAAAAAAAAATATATGCATTTATTATCATTGAATGTTACATACTTTTCTCTCTTTTTTTAGTTTATAGATTTTTCTAAATACTTCTAAGGCTTCCATAATTTAAGGAAATGGGAGAGGTATACATTGATTGACTATTGCCTATGTTACTGGCTCAGTAACAGATATTTATTGAGCATCCACAATCTGTTAGTATTAAAAAAACAGAGGTCTTCATAGTAAAAATAATCTGTGGAGATTATAGTAAACAAATAATTCTAACACAGCAAGTGATCTGCCATGATAGAGAAATGTGGAAAGGTTACATCAAGGATGAAAGTGAATGAGTCCATGCATGCAGGGTGGGGGCAGCCACGGAAGCATCAAAGGAGAAGAGATTCTGATGAATGATGAAGATAAAAGTTAGACTGGAGTTGAATGAGGAGTGACTGAGTAGGAGGAGGTAGAGAAAGCAAGGACAGAGTTCATTCTATAGAAACTTAGGAAAAAGTCAAGGACTGTGTAATGCATCCTCAGAGAAGGGTGTTTAGGATGAGAGATTCATATGTGGGTTTACAGGTTCTCAGGGAAAAAGACAATGTGTAAGAAAATGTAAAGTCTTTTGGGGAACATAAGTCAAACAAAAAGCAAACTATAACATGAGATAAAATACATGCTATGAGAGGTCCAGAGAACTAAAGAGGTTCAAAGGAAGAAAAAATACTCATTAGAATTCAGAGATCAAGAAAGGCACTATAGAAAACGATGCATGTTAGATGGTCTTTAAAAGATCAGTAGGATTTCAAAAAGTACAGATGGGAGAAAGGTGGAAGAACAGCATGAACAAACTCCAAAAGCAGACACTTGGGCAAAGGTTCCAACTCTTTGGACTGTGAAGTACTGGAAGGGGAACATTGGGAGCTAAGACTATAAAAGTTTGATTACAGACATAGTGTGAGTATTTGAATGCAAAGGTGAGAAATCTGGATCTAATTCAAAAGCAAGAAAAGTAAGTCAAAGTAGCCATTGAAACTTTATGAAATGCCTAATCAGAGCCATGCATTAGGAAGATTAATAAACCTGTGCACATCAGTGGTTCTCAATCCTGGCTGCATTTTAATTCACTTGGAAGCTTTAACAGAAACAGATTCCTGGATCCCACCACTAAAGATTCTATTTCAACTGGGGGAGAAGAGGCAGCAATCAGATGATTCCACAGCACTTACATCCTTAGAATTGCTAGAATATGGATACATCTAAGAGGGAGAATAGAGTAAAAGAAAGTAAAAGAAAGACTTAGCAAAGTCCACATAGAAGTCGGTGAGAGTTTATTTAACTGGAAAACAAACAGAAAAGGATGTAAATGTGAGAAACTAACAAGAGGCTTATACAGATAATCAAGGAAGATGGGGCTAGAGATGACCAATCTTGGTCTGGATTTGATTGGGAAAATCCAGATATCAGGACAATAATTTATTCTTTTTTAAAATATAAATTTGTACACAGTAGATACTTAGGCATTGTGCTAGGTGATGAGGATACAATGAGTTATAAGATGCAACCCAGGTCTTCATGGATGAGTTCGGTACTGGACATTTGAATTTGCAAGTCAGAAAAAAAAGTTATAGCCAGAAACAGCCATCTTTCTAAACTTAATTGCTGAAGTCATGCAAATTAATGAGCTCACCAAAACAGTGAATATATTAAGAGCACCAAGAAGAGTCTGTACAATTAGGAAGGAGTTAGGGAAATAAGAGAATCTGGATGATGTCAAGCCATGGAAGCAAAGAAAGGAAAGAGATTCAAACAGAAGTTGTTAGTCAACTGTGTTAACATTTCCAGTGGAAGGAAAAAATTTCTGCACATGCAAAAATTTCTCATGTCCCAGGGGGATTTCACAACAATTGAAAAGTTCTGCCATGAAACACATTTCAACACATGAAAATAGATGGACACCCACTTAGGACTAAGTCTAGAGGCTAAGATGTCTGAAAAAAAAGATAGGGCATAAATTCTAAGCATTTTTAGAAAGCAAAACCATATTCAAATAGCAGTAAAATATAAATTAAAAGCACGCTAAACCAATATGTTCTAGATTTATGTAACATTTACTCAGCATTATCCTAGAGTAAATGTAATCTTCATGAGCTGTGTTAGTTTCAATTAAAACCTTTACTTTTTTAAACAACTCCAGAAATCTTTCCACTGCTACAGTCAACTCAAGGCCTTTCTGAGATTATCAATAAAAGAGATTTTTATACAAACTCACTAGTACACATGAACCGGCTCATCAGCAGAGTCCTACATACTTGCTGCTACTGTTATGTAGCTTACTGCCGCCAGGTGTCATGCTAGTAGGCTGGATTCAATTAGCAACTTTAATTGAAGCTGAATGAAATTAATTATATAATTTTGAACTGTTCAAGTATAATTCCATTAAAATTAATTCATAAAACCAAGGCATTATGAAGTATTGCTGACTAAAAGAAAATAGGTTTGAATAAAGTCTCCAGACACACTTGACTCATATTTGAATCATGTCCAATATTCGAGTGCTAAACACAGACCCTTTCAACTCTTCATTGAATACATAAAAATGCCATGTGGTCCATATACATGTAGACATACAATCATGTGACCCACTCTAGGAGGAAAATGAAGTTCTTCCTGCTCTACATTTTTATTAATGGACAGTTTATCATACTTTTTTATAAAATTTTCCTTATCTGTGAAATTCTAGAATAGAGTTGATTCCCAGTGTCTTTCTCAGATCAAAAAAAAAAAAACTATGATTCTCTGTTTCACTATATTCAAGAAAGGATAAATAATATGCAATTACAATAAAATCACAATCATCAGTGTATCCAACTTTGCCTTGTTTGAAAACTAAATGTCTTGGCTCAAAAGGTGGTCTCAGGCTTTTGCTATGATCCACAGCACTCAGCCCAAAGCAAGGCTCAGAAATGGGTCAAAGTAAAAAATTTAAATTGACTTTTGCTGGTTCTCCACTGGTAAAACAAAACTTCTGTGACCACTTGACTGTTCTATGACTTTCTACTATATGCATATTATTTTATTAATATGTCCTTAATACTCATTTTAATGGAATACCCATATGACAGCCTCATAAATGGTGAGCAGTTACATATAACACAACACTGAAGAAATGCACTGAACAGAAAGCAAGATTTAACTGATAGACAATTCTAAGACAGGCACCATGCTACCCAAACACAGAACCAACCTTACTACAACTTTCAACTGGTTGGGTCAGCTACTATTCATTATAACGACAAAATGGCAGTTTCTAATAATAGATTTCTGTTATTGATGTAGGTTTGCTGTGTCACTTCTGAATGGGGAGGCAGAGGACAGCCCTGGTTTAATCAATTCCATTTCGGATGTATGGAGGTTAGCAATTGCAATTCAACAACTATGTAGGCCTGTAAGACAGGCAATCAGGTGATTTCACTGATGTATGAAATCAGACTATACCTTTCAACAAGATTTCCATCTACACTCCCAACAGGCACCCCTCCCCAACACAGCAATTTTATCTTAAAAGGGGCCCTTCATCATTTTGACAATGCTGTCCTTCTAAGCCAATGGTTCTCTACTTTGGCTCTGAGTAAGAACCACTGCAGAGCTTTTGAAATATAAACCTCAGAGGTCTCAATTTCAGGTGTGTGGGGTGGGGTGGGGATGTCATCATGATACATGGCCAGGTTTGAGGGGCACTGTTCTAAGTAAGCTTTTGTCCTGTACTGCAGAACTACTTAGAAAAAGACTTAGAAGAGCATATAAAATATTAAGATACAAATCTTGCCATTCATTGCCTTGTCACAGTATTCTAAGGAATCATAAAATAAAATTTTATCTAATCATCTAATTAATATAGAAGTATTTAGTTCTGTCTCCATGTCAGGACAACTATGAGAATACAAAACCTGAATTATATATAATGCTAATCAATTCTACTAATAGATGGGATGAAAGAAACATGTCTTAGATATTAAAATAAAAATTGAAGACACTTTAAAAATAGTACTAGACCAAAGGATAGCTGCACACCAATGGCAATTGTTCCCAAAAGGCTAGCTTCCAAGTATTCCAGTGTGCTCCTCTGGACACAGAAGTGAGGAAGAATCTTTGGATAAGGAAAAAAGGCTAGGTCCGTGACAACAAATCCTTCTCACTGGGGAGACCAAATACACACACATGAATCAATCAAGCAACTACAAAACAGAAGGTAATGAAAACTGCTCTGGGTCATAGTTCTGGCTCAAAAGCTGACCAGCTGTGTGACCGGAACCGGCCTCATCCTCTTCATCCTTTTCATTGGGAAATTAGAGCATTGAGCTGGATGATTGCAGAGGCCTTTCCAGCTCTACAATTGTGTAAATCTGACTCCGCACAAAGGTTAAACAATAGAGCCAAAATCTCATATACAGGCTGAAGAGTGTTTAGAATGGAGTAGAGGAAATCACAGAAAAGACTTGGATTTTTCTAAGGCATTGGAATTGAGTTAATTTGAGTAGGGCATTGGATTTGAGTTAATTCTCAAAGACAGTGACAAGCATGAATTAAGTAAAAGAATAAGTCAAAGGAAAAAAATAAGAGTTCCAAATGATCAATTTAAATATAATATGTCCTACTCAGAAATGACTATTTATCTTACGGGATCAATACTTTTTATTTTTTCCTGTTTCTAAAGAAGGGCATAAATGATGGAAGCAATCCTCTGCAATCTTGATTATTTGTGTTGAAGGAGAATAGGAAATATTTGGGTAAATAGTATTTTCTCTTAATTTAAAATTCTATAATATTTTACCTAGTTGGCATTATCCAAATTTAAAACTTTGATAGTTTTACTTATGTCAAACAGTTGAGGAATAAAATAATAGAACAGTGGTTAGCAAGAGAGAAAAATCTAAGAGCATTAAAAATAAATTGTAAAACAATTTATGTAAAATATTATATATGCCATATAACAGCCACTTGGCTGGCATGTGGTTG